GGGGGGGGGGGGGGGGTTGGGTGTGATGTTGAATCATTTTGAATGGCAACCTAGCCCAAAACAAAACAAAACTACTCTTGATTATTAGACACAAATACCGATAACGTAAGCAGACATAAATGGATGGATGTTTTAGGCTTTAACAGATCAAATCCTAAATGGTGTATCTACTTCGACCCAACAAAGCCGAGTTATGATTGATAGAAACCAACTGTCGTGATTCATTATGTAGATGGAAGTTTTGTTGGTATTTGTTTCTTTTTTTCTTCATTTCTTTCTTCCTTCCTTTCCTTTTCTTTCTTTCTTTCCTTCTTTATGACTCTCTTTCTTTCTTTTCCTTTTTAACTAATTGATTATGACCATTCCTTCAAAATGTTTGCTTCAGTCTTACCTATTATGCAAGTTCTGTTCTACTAGTATGATTAGGCTCGTTGTAGAAGTCGTGAGCAGGTTCCCGCACCATGTCCAATTTAGCACAAAATCCTTTCAGTCAGCAGACGTTTTCGCCATACACGAGTACTGAATTACCCTAGATCACCCACTTATACGTAATTCCGGATCATTTTGGAACGCACCGAGAGACCCTAATCGGATCCAAATGAAGGTCCCCCCAAAAAGGGGGTGGGGGGGGGGGGTCGTCATTTATTCAACTATTGCGATACTGGTCTTTTGCTCTTCAGTTGGGCGCCCATAGAGTGCACGCTTCACAGCGAAGGTTTTTGTCAAGAGCGGCGGACGTGAGAGGGTAGGGTATTGCCGTTGATAGAATAATCCAGGTTTATAACAATCACTCAAAACATTAATTGTGTTTCTCATTTAGCACCCAAAGCCGCCACTCTGATCCCTACCACAATCGAACAGTTTTCATGACATTTTCAGGTTCCTTGTATTTGCGCTAAAATATCAGAATTCTCTCCTCATCTTTTCAACGTTAAACTTGTCCCAACTCAGAAATTGGTATCCCTTTTCTGCTTTTGTTGACTGTTTTCAGCGCCCTTCTAGACACCAACTAAATTATTTCATAGCCTCGCACTCCCCCCCCCCTATCTATCTATCTATCTCTCTATCTCTCTATCTCTCTACCTATCTATCTGTCTATCTATCTATCTATCTATCTATCTATCTATCTATCTATCTATCTATCTATCTATCTATCTATCTGTCTGTCTATCTATCTATCTATCTATCTATCTATCTATCTATCTATCTATCTATCTATCTATCTATCTATCTATCTATCTATCTATCTATCTATCAGAATGATACCTTACTGAATTTATGCACGAGTCATATAACAAGCTCTACGGTGGGACAGAAGTTCCTTCGCAAACTCCTGAAAACTTCAACTTGAACAAGTTCCAAGTCAAAGCTCTTCTGTCTTTATCTCTCTCCACTTCTTCATTGTACGTTACTCTGTTCATAATACCTCTAATCTTCGGTATTTGTGTTACCTGTTTTTGTTAAAAGTGATGTAAAACGCCAGCTAAAATTAAAACTAAGGTCAAAACAGCAATAGCATTTGATTAATACCTCCATGGCATATTACATGTCTTATGAAATTATATTAAACATAAATTACTATACGTCCAACTGTGGAAGGTCACAACTTTCTCCTAGACAATGGGTAGCCACCGGGGGAATTTCTATCCGTCTATCTATCTGAATATCTATTATCTATCTATCTATCTATCTATCTATTATCTATCTATCTATCTATCTGGATGATTACTATCATAAAAGTGTAAGCGCCCGTTGCTTAGGACGAAGAGTTCAGACCTGAGCCAAAGAGGTCATACACTGGATAATGTAAAATGCATAATATATAACCTCTTTTGAGCTGAGGGTTTAGGTATTTGAGTGTGTGTGTGTGTGTGTGTGTGTGTGTGTGTGTGTGTGTGTGTGTGTGTGTGTGTGTTTGTGTGTGTGTGGTTGGGGAGGGGTTCACTAAGGTTATCTTCAATTTATCGCCACTGTAGTGGCAATCAAAAGAGAAACACGGTGGTTTGATCATCATCATCATCATCATCATCATCATCATCATCATCATCATCATCATCATCATCATCATCATCATCATCATCATTATCATTAAAGTCCCTGCAAAGAGGCACCTCTACTCGCCAAGAATGGCAATTCGAATTGAGTTATTTGGACGAGTCGAGTTGCCTCTAAGCATTTTTGACAATGGAGCCGAGAAAGAGCCACGCTCTCGCTCGAAGATTTCTTCGTGGAGCCTACCAGGCCCATTAAGGAAACAAAAATCCTCCTCCTCATCATCATCATCATCATCATCATCATCATCATCATCATCATCATCATCATCATCATCATCATCATCATCATCATCATAAGTTGTATTACCATTATTAATCTATTGTTCGTGACAGTAAGCAACGACCACGTGGAAAAAACTAGTCAAAATTGCTTTAATGATCCGTCGACATAAGGAGCAAGAAGTATTAATGTTAAATTCTTAAACTCATTGAAAGAACCACAGCTTATGGAAAAGTTTTCAGTTGCCCGGCAGGTTTCATAGATCTCTCCTCCCCCCCCCCCCCCCCAAACCACCGTTACTCCCAAAAATGTGAAAATAAAGCGTGTATTACAACACCTCCCCCCGCCCCTCCCAATATCTTCGCACAATGCTGCTATTTTACAACCAGCCGCTTCCTGTTCCTCAAAGACATAAGTTCATCCATTGGTGACCTCCACTGTTACCACGGATGTTGTTGTGTAGGGCAAGCAGTTTGAAATATGAAAGAAGGGGAGGTTGAGGGAGGGGGGGGGGGGAGGGAGGCGACACAACTTTTGTGATATTTTGTCTTACTATTTCTGTCACCCAGTGAATTCATAGCACTATCTGTTGGGACGTTGTATCCCTCTTAGCCCGGTTTGCCCTGACATGCAAAGTCAAAGCCTGCCTTATAAATGATCTAAATCGTGTCGATAGGGGTGTAAAATACTATTCATTTTAGAATTAAAACCCAATCGTTTACAACTCTTAATGTCTAATGGAGAATCAAAATAACTGAAACATGAACAAAAGGATCTAGCATAGATGCATTGCCAAAAGTCATGAACAGTGTAGTGCGTGGGTCCCAAGATGATTAATAATTGCAACTGGTTTAATGCCCTTTTCATCTAGAAGGTTAATTGCCCCAACCTTGACTGCTAAGGGAAACGCGAACTGACGAGAAAAAGCATCCCAAAAGAAATGAACGGGGATGTACGATAAGCAATAACGTAACTTACGAACACAGAAATTGAACTCTTCATTTTTTTTCGCTCATGGAGTCAGAGAGCCTAACCATAGCACCTCTGAAGAAAGAAGAAAAAGAAGAAGAAAAAGAAGAAGAAGAAGAAGAAGAAGAAGAAGAAGAAGAAGAAGAAGAAGAAGAAATATGTCTATAGAGAAAGAGTGCGTCGGCATCAAGAGACGTGTGTTAGAGAATCAGTTGTTCAGGTGTACTGAGCCCACTATTTAGAATTGTTAAATAATTAATTTCCTAATGTAATGTGTGGTAACAGTTGTTGATACTCCAGAAGTGTTTGGTCCAAATTTGATTTCAACACCTTGAAAAAATCAAGTAGAAATATTATCTTGATGGAGAAGGTATTGGGAGTATTTCATTCGTTTTACAAAAAACTATCTATAACAACCAATGAACCTATGAAAGTGGCGTGGGTGGCCTAGTGGTTAGGCTCTCGGACTCGCAACCGTAGGGTCGTGGGTTCGAATCCCGTCAGGGGCCGACGTTGTGTCCTTGGGAAAGGCAATTTACACGAATTTTCCTCCCTTCACCCAGGTGGGAATGGGTACCCGGCTATAGATGGCGAAAGATCTTGTCAGTTTGTTAGTGTTTGAGCGTTTAATCAGCTGCTTGCACTGTATGCTTTCCGGGATGCTGAGAATGTTTCGGAGTGTTCTATGGTCTGCTGGGGTAATAATATAGTGTAAATCGCACAGAGCCTGCTGTTGAGCGGGGATATGCGCTATACAAATGCCATTTATTATTATTATTATTATTAACTAATGTTTTTTGTTTGTTTTTGTAAAGTGTTTTGCGGCGCTCTCAACTGCTTAAGGTCATATGAGCGCTTGGGACACTCCTAATATTTTCAGTTGGTAGGAAATTTTGAATTTTGCCCGGGTGGCGGCCGAAGCCTACTCTTATCGATTTTAGACCACCAAGGGGTCTTTAACGTGCGCAACGTGCACACGGGCCCTCCGAGATTTTTCGCCCTTGTCCGAGAAGGCTAGGTGTAGATCTTTCCTACCAGAAGACCAGGGGTGTGGCAGAAAGACAGCAGTAAGGAGGAGCCAAGGAGTAGCAGTAGAAAGGCTGCAGAAAGAGTCAGGAGCCCAGAGGAGGGGGCAAATGAGGTGAGGGGGTGGGGGCCGAAAGTGGAAATGAAAGCAGACAACAGAACATTGCTAGAGAGCAGGAAAAGAGGTGAAAGGAGACTATTTTAGAGAAGACAATTTTTCGGTCGCTACCCGGATTCGAACCCGGGACTTTTGAATAAGAGGCCAACACCTTAACCTCTAGGCCACGAGAGCCCCCGTCTCAACTCAGAATTCTAAAAAAGGAGGAACTTTCCGGGTGATCGCCACAGAAGCCCATGTTCGCGAAACACCCATTTTTTATTATACTGTTGAACCCTAGAATGCTGAAATAAATACCATAATTTATCAAAGTAAGGTTATTTCACTCCAATTTGAGGGTTTGGGAGATAATTTCAAGTAAAAGTCACGTACTAAATATTTACAATCTTGATTACGTACAGAAAGTGGTAGCGTCTGGGGTCTTGTGCGACTTATTTATACATGTATTTTCCCTTCATCATACTAGCTTATATATATATATATATATATATATATACATACATACATACATACATACATACATAT